ATAATTTGATTAACCTTGCAAAAGGAAAAACATATTTTTCAAAATTTGACTGTAAAAGCGGATTTTGGCAAATAAAACTGGCAGAAGACTCAATACAGTTAACTGCATTCAGTACTCCTAACGGACATTATGAGTGGTTGGTCATGCCTTTTGGGCTAAAAAATGCACCACAAATATTCCAAAGGAAAATGGATAAAATATTCTTAGAAAAAGAATTTTTAATCGTCTACATAGATGATATTCTAATATGTTCTAAAACATATGAAGAACATTTAAAACATCTGAAAGAGTTTTCAGAAATTTGTTTTAAAAATGGAATTGTGTTAAGTCAGAAAAAAGCTGATATAAATAAAAATGAAATAGAATTCTTAGGAATGATTATTTCAAAAAATGGAATTGAACTCCAATCACACATATCTAAAAAGATAGTAGAATTTCCTGATAAATTAACAACAAAACAAGAAATTCAAAAATTTCTAGGTTGTTTAAATTACGCAGGAGATTTATTCCGAATTTAGCTAAAAAACGGAATATTTTACAAAAACTTATAAGAAAGTCTAATAGACTTGGATGGACAGAAGAGCACACACAATGTATCAAGAATCTAAAAGAAGAATGCGCTAAATTGCCAAAACTCAGATTACCAGAAGATAATGATAATCTAGTTTTACAAACTGATGCATCTGATTACCATTGGGGAGCATTATTGCAAACCGATTTAAATGAAATTTGCAGGTACACAAGTGGTACTTTTAATGACGCCGAAACAAGATATTCGACAAATGAAAAAGAATTATTAGCAATTGTTAGAGGAATCAGAAAATTTTCTACTTTTCTTTTACCAAAACAATTTGTTATTAGGACTGATAATACGCAAGTTTCAGGGCTAATATTTAATAAGCTACCTTCCGAACCGCAATACAGAAGATTGCACAGATGGCAGGTGTTATTATCTTTCTATTCATTTTCAATAGAATACATCAAAGGAAATGATAATTTTCTTGCAGATTTCATCTCCAGAAACGTCCAATATGGACAATCAGACAAAAATCCTGGTGAACAGGATATATGAGGGAATGAAGAAAGTGGATGAATCCATTGATGAAAAAAGCCAAAAGCTTTTTAAAATGAGAGACGAGCTATCAAAGTTGTCTGAACAATCTCGGATGTTACAATCCGCAATAAATCAGCTTAGTACAGCTCAAGCTGAAAACATGAGAGAATTTTTACTCTTGTGTGAGCATTTGGACACACGTCCAACACAGAATTCAAATCTGAAAGGGAATTTTACTCCCAACAAAGTGGCAGGAGATGTCCCACTAGCACCTAGTGCCAAAAACATCTCAATGGTAAGCAAGGCTATGCCAATTTCCGAAAATAAGGAAAAAAGCCTAGCAAATGAAGTTGCAAGCTCATCATCAGCGAAAGCTGAAAGAATTATATCTGGGAAACCAGAAAGTAAAACTAACCAAGTTCCATCAGGAACAAAAGTTTTTTCTTCATTTCAGGTTGGAAAACAACACCCGAAGGAAGAAGAGTATCTTGCCTTTACTAGATACATCTATAATCTCCCAGAAGAAAGTGGAGAAACATACGGCGTTTTAGGAACAACGAGTTTGTTTCCTAGAATATCAATTTTTCCTAATGGAATTCCGGGCTTTACAGCTCAATTGTTCGAGTTTGGGTATTTGGATCGGGTATACACAAAACCAGATCTAAAAGAACTATCCCAACTACCATCAAAATTGTTTGAAGCAATTAAAAATTTCACCCAAGGCAATGGAGTATACTGCAGGTTCTTTAGCATATCAATGGAATGCCAGGATTTGCAAGCATATTATCCTACTCTCAATTATATTTCAATTGAAAAAATTAAAGATTTTAACGTTAAGGCAACAGGAGTTGATAAGAAACTTCCCCACCTTAATAAAAAATGGATCCAAACAAGGAGAGCGTTAGGGATAAAAGCCTTATACGCTATTCTAACTAGATTTTACAAAGAAGATAGTAAAGTCATCGATCAAGACAGTGGTTGGGTCTTGATTACTAAAGGAAAAACTAAGTCCAAAGAACTCAAGGAGAGAATATTGGACATCGAACTTCATAGGCTTGGAGCCACTGAAGAAACATGGAAACTAGCATGCAAAATGCTAGATCATGATCATGCCTGATGTAGCATAAAAAGATAAAGAAGATGACGTAAGCACTTACGTCATGGAGCATTAAAGAAAAGGAATTCTTTCTTTTTCTCAAAGACAAAAGAAAGGCCCCTCATGCCGGCCAATTATTCAGAAGAAGACAATGGAGAGTCCATTATCTTATCCCAAGGAATCTTCCGGCCCCAGCAATCATGCAAAGCTAAGGACTTGAAGATAATTATGTAAAATTTTAGGGAAATCCCTAAGATAATTTTCTTTTGTAATAAGTCCCTCCTTATATCTATAAAAGGAGAGGAACTTCAGATAGAAAAGGCAGACTAAATTTTCCGAGAGAAATCCATCTTAGAAAATATTAGGTACCTTCAAAGTTATGAAGTGTTGTGAGTGTGAGTAGTACTTCTCCCGTCTGGGAAAAGTATTTTCTTATTATGTTGTAAGTATAGTAGAGTATGTATGGTGTGTATGTAAAAACTATAATATGAAATAAACAGTTGGTTTTATACCTCTCTTCTTATAATTTCATAAATAGTCTTAAGTGAAGGTTGCGATCTTCAGCCTTAGGGAGGAACAGTGTTGAAGTAACCAAAGACTGAGGTCGTTAGGGTGAAAAACTGTTCATAGCCTGAAGGGAGAACTTCTGCGGAAGTGATAGGACTATTCATCGAAGAAAGAGAAGGAAGGTATACACGCAAACTTTTATTCATATTGTAAGATTTACGTATATACTATATAATGCATATACTTTACTTAGACATAAAGGAAAATACTTAGTACCTATAGGGAATTAAAATAATATTGATTTTGATTAATCATGATTGATAAAAACAAACAGCTATTGCATATCATAATCATGCTACTTGCATAATGAAAAATATTCAACAACCCTTACATAAAATAAGGAAAAGGGATTGGGAACACAAAAAGGCTTTATTTCATATGAATAAAGCAATCAAGGAAATGGAATTAGTATATGAACATGCTAGTCATCCATATGAAACTCTAAGATTCTCCATAAGAGAAATGAAGAGTTATAGAGCACAAGAGTATTTTGAATATCAAGATGCTCTAAATATCTTTAAAAATTATAGAATATTCACAGCTTAAAAACAGTATTTAAATTTTATCCGCAACCCTGTTTAAAAACAAACAGCGAATAACTAATGGTATCAGAGCCAAGTAGTAAATCAAGCTATTAAAAAATGATACTAGATAGAAATCTAGTCAAACCTTTATGGTATATAGAATATGAAACTTTAGTAACAATACTAAAGGCAATAAAAAATGAAGATCTAAAAAGAAAAATAGTCTCTATAAATATCAATATAGAGACTTTCTATCAATAGATAGGAATGAGTGTTCGATATAGGGGATAGGATCCATCTGCTCTTTATCTCACAATTTTTTTGTGAGAAATATATATATATGTTTAAATTTGAATTTGGGAAAGAGTATGCTCAAGTTATCTCATGTGCTTGCTTTCTTGCTTCTTGCATCATGTATGTAATTAGCCCTTAATTCTCTTTTGGTCCGACTAATTCAAATTTATACCGATTAGTAAGGCTTATTTAACCGGCAAGCCTCCCTAACAAGATTTTGAACCCTCTTATTAAAACTATTAAGTTTGTCAATGCTCGTGCATATGTATATATTATCTCTCAAATATGTAATTATTAATTTTAATTACAGTTTTTCAATCACTGATGGCAAGAGATTTGATCAGTGATGGCATAGAAGTACTGCAACTTCCAGTGGAAAATGATGGGGAATTTGTATTATGCCCAGGTAATTAATTTAATTTCACAGATGGTTACATAATTATGTCACTATATTTATAATTATATAATTGTAATTATTTTAGGTAAGCAATCATGGCCTGAACTTGTTGGGAAGTCAGCAGAATATGCAAAACAAATAATTCAGAAGGAAAATCCCATAGTTCATGATGTTAGGCTTCTATTTCCTGGTATGCCTAAGCCACTTAATTATGTTTGTGGCAGAGTTTTTCTGGCTGTTAACTTTAAACGCATTGTTCGAGTTACTCCCACTATGGGTTAGTAACATTATTATGTTATGAAAATTAAATAAAGTGGAGATATTAAATATAATGTCTTCATGTACTCTACTATTTCAACATAAATAAAACTAATGTTCCTTATTTGTATTGTAATGTAATTGTCTACCCTTATTATTTTCTTTTATGTTGTAGTCTTTTCCAATTTTGATTTTCTTTTGTTATGGATTGACGAATCATTAAAGCTTATATAAATGAGATGATCATATAATTAAACGTGATATATTATAGTGGGTAGATGTCATATCACCCATCCGCGAAATACTAAAAAAAAAGTTATGACAAAGCGTGTTGAAAATATAATTATTAAGTAAATAATCATATTGATCTCATCTTTAATATTTAAATGAGTTTTGGGTATGGAAAAATTCTTGATAGGGAGTGTTAACCCTCGAATGGGGCCTTATCCAAGCACAAATCTGAATTAATCGAGCTTCAATGCATATATCAAACACCAAGTGAAAAATTAAAAAAAAAATGATATCAATAGGCAAATGTCCTAAGTTCAATCTCAGTGTCACATCATAATCACTCAAGTTCTCGTATAAAATGAGCACAAAATTAAACATAATTTAGTTACTGACAATAATTATATTGCTTCAATTACTGCAATATATTTTAGATAAATAAAACCATACTTCAATTACATTCACATTCACATATTTGACAGGCTCCTGTATTCTCACTCACCCTACTGGTTTAATAGTGGAGGTATTCAACCACTTAAACAAGCCGTATTAAAAATAGACAATTTTGTGGTACTGGAAATCAATACCTGTGGTTAGTTAATTAATGGATTATTGAAGTAACTAAGCAGCCACATGTGAAAAAATAATTAGGTTCCATGTATGTTCATTATAATGTATCCATGTACTCTTAATATAAATAATGGAATAAATAAGTGTGGCTTAATTAAATGTACTCCTCTCCTTAATTAATTCCTTTTACATATTGTGTACTACTTCTTTATGTTTCAATTTGTTTGTATGATTTTGATTGACACAAAATTTAAGAAAATAAAAGAAAATTAATCAGCAAGTATTTACAAATCAGTATTTTGTAAGTACTTCTAATTTGTAGATGTATCAACGGATACAAGAGTGAGAAATTTCAGCTAGATTTGCCTCGACTGTATTTCTCATTTAAAATACAACATGTATCAACAAATACAAAAATGTGTACAAATATGCAAGATTGGTATTTTATGTGTTTCTGTATACAAACATGCAAGATTTTGTGAATATATACATAAGGGTATTTGTTATTCTGTCAACAAGTAGTTTTAATTTGTAGATGTATCAATAAATACAAGTGTGAGAAATTTTGGCAAAATTTGTCGAATTTTTGAATAATAAATTTGTTGAATTTTGAATAATATAATGTCATCGATGTATTTTGAATGAGAAATACAAGTGTTAGTGTCACACCCCAAATCCGGATGTGATGGCACGTGTCCATTTCCCACCGGACACGTCAGCCTAACCCAACCACAACGATAGAGAAGTAGAAATACGAGAATAAAAGATAATAAATAAGCGGAAGACTTTAATTAAGACTCAACACTACCCAGAATTTGGTTGTCACATGTGCAAACCTCTAAATACAGAATTCGAATAAAAATATACAAGTCTCAAAGTATAGTTCTCGAATCGAACAAAACAGAAAGTAAAGATAACTCAAGGGCACGTCTGGAATGAACCGCTACCTCTCGAGTATGTCCCGAAGCTCAATCTGCTAAAGAAAATACTAAGCCGAATCTGAGAGAGAGCTGTCAACCTACACAATTGTGTAGAAGCAAGGGTGAGTACCGAAAACCACAGGTACTCGCAAGTAACTCTAAACTAAGCAAAACTAGCAGCTACAAACAACTCCTTTCAATCCCAACCGAACCACCGAAACTTCAATCTAGCAGCAAACCAACCAACCTATACTAAAACGATCATATTCAACAGCCAGAACCAACAGTATATCCTCATCAACCTCAGATCAACAAATAAGAGCAAGTAGATCAAATTCCACATAAGAAGGATAAACCGATACAATCCACACATCACAGACAAAGATAAGGCAAATGCGATGCAAAATGCAATAATGATGTCATGTAGTTGTGATGCATTTCTGTCATACGATACACATCTGTTGACGTAATCAGTCCGCACTGAATACTCAAATCAAAACCCATGGGGGCCACACATGGACCATGTATCACCGCCGGAACCAGATCCCATCGGTATCCAAATCGCTAGCCGGAGCTAGTCCATCTCATATATCTTTAGCCGGAGCTAGTCTCAACTATGTCTCATATCCATCCATCCTCATATCAGTGTCTCAGAACTCATGCAATAGATAGTTCACACATGAGATGAATAATGAATATGCACATGTCATCAATCACAATCATATCACGATCACATTATAGTATTACACATCATCTGTCTCAATCACAACCATATCACGACCACATCATAGTATTACACATCACCTGTCTCAATCACAACCATATCACGATCACATCATAGTATTACACATCACCTGTCTCAATCACAACCATATCACGGCCACATCATAGTATTACACATCACATGTCTCAATCACAACCATATCACGACCACATCATAGTATTACACATCCTATGTCTCAACATCAATGTTTGTATCAATCATAGCCTACTCATGCTCTTTTATCCCCTTAATATCAGTTATCACATGACTAATTCAACAAATTCAAGTCACATATAACACAGTTAGCTCGTTTTATTCCCTATCTTTCATTTACAACAATTTCAATCAACAAATAAAACCCATCCTCAATCCCCTTTACTCCCCAACACAATTAGGAAAGTAGTCATGCGTAGTCTAAGAGTTTTACAAAGTTTGGAAGCCACTTGCCTTAAAACGAACTCCAAAAGTTACTTGACTTGAGCCTTTCCTTTTCGAGTATAATCCGGATCACGATAATCTATTCAAACAATTATTCACAATCACAATTCGAGTCCAATGACACCAAAATCAAAAAATTTAGGGAAAAAGGGCAAAACGGTCCAAAAGTCTCATACCGGAAAACGATACCCAAATCTGGAAATTTTTGATGTAAAATGATCCTTAAATTATTTGGAAGCTAATGATGAAAACCAATTTGAAAACGGAGTTGAAATCAATTCACAAACTCAATTTGAAGGAAAATCCACGTTCTTGAAAAAGCCTAAAATATTCAGATCCGAAACCCCGACTCGAAAATGAAATATCTCTTGAAAAACATCTTACCCATGCTTAGATAAGTTCAAATATGAACTTTCATCAAAAACGGAGTTAAGATCGACCTTGAAATTCTCAATTAATCAAACTTTAACTTTATCGGGAAAGTCCAAATTGTACGCGATTAATATGATGAAAATAATCGATGAATCAATAATTTTATGTTAAAATCAGTTTACCCATAACATAAGGATCGTAAATATACCTTTTTCATCAAAAAGGGAGTCCAAATCGATAAAACCCCAATTTTTCCCAAGAGATTTACGGATAGGAAAAAAAACAGATAAAGAAATTATGAGAAAATGTCGAATTGAAGATTGAATACTAACCCTCATATTAATTCAAGAAGAAACCGGTAAGAATAACTTCATTCCGATCTCTAGAACTCCCGATATGCTCAAATACCAAATGAACACAGTCTGAGATTTTTATAACAGTACATGACTGTTATGCACCAGAAAAACAGCAGTTAATCTTTCACTAAAAAGACCTTAATTTCCTCATACGATAGTGAAATGACCCGATTCTTTTTTGTAAATGTCTTAAATAATGATACGGACCTGCTCGTTCAATCGGAGCTCAATTTCATTCTCGTTGGCCAGTCAAATATCATTTCTACTCGGCAACAATTATTTCTTATTTGCGATAAAAGTCCAATCTCGGGTTAGCGAAAATGCACCAAAATTTGCAGATAAGTCCTATAATTCATGCTCAAAATTTCAGAACCTTCGAAATAATTTTTCGACCTTTAAAACTAATAATGAACCCTTTAGTTGCCACAATTTGCTGAAATAGTGTCAAAGCGTCCAAGAAACTTAAAAGCTCACCCAAAACTCATTTGGAACTTCCCGAACACAAACCAAACATGCTACTAGCTTGAAAATGACATTTCGGACTCAATGAGATTGTCGGAATTTGAATTCGAGGTCTCCTTGACCCGGTATCCGATAAGGCGTCAAGAAACTAAATTTAGGCTCAAAAACTCGAAACGCACTAGGAGCCTCTAAAAATACAACCAAGACTCATTCTAGACTTAGAATCATCCCCTGAATCCAACGGTGCCCTCGGAATTCCATTTCGAGCACCAGAACCTCGTTTGTTGACCAAAGTCAACTCTTGATCAAAATTTCACAATTTTTGCAACTCAGGACTTAAATCTTCGTTTTAACTCCAAATTCGACTCCATAAATTCTTATAGACCCGTTTCGACATTCTAAAACTGCTGGAATCGACGGAAATCCGATTCGAGTCTCGAAACTCCAAATGACTCGAAATAGCACTTTTAACCAAACTTTAACTCTTAAAAACTCAACTTTTCATCAATTTTCCTTCAAACCAACTTCGAAAATACAACAATTAGGACTCGGGGCGACTATCAGAAGGGGTAAAACGGTCATTTTATGAGAATTTCCAAAAATGACGTTTAGGGTCATTACAGTTAGATAGTATTTCTCATTCAAAATACAATAAATATCAACAAATGTAGGAGTGTACTGCATCAAACATGTATCAATGAATATAAGGATAAGAAAATCAATGTCATGGATGTATTTATTATTCAAAAAATCTTCTAATGTATTTATTATTTAAACAGTTGAGAATACAATTCAACAAACACTTTTAATTCATAGATGTATCAACGAATATGGATGGACAAATAAAAATAAAGAGAGAACTAAATAGTAGTTGATTTGTTTGTGTTTTTTCAAAAAGTAGAATAAAATTTCCAAAAAGGGAATTGAGGGTCGTTAGCTAATAATTGCATATTTGGACTATTTGCCTAATGATATAGTTATGAGTTAAAAATTTGGGGACATGAGACTTAACAGTCCAAGGGTAAATATGTGCACAAGATTGAATGTCAAGGGCAATTATATTTAAAAAAGTATGATAAAGGGTAAATATAACATTTTTCTAAGAGTACATGGACAAATATGACCATTTTACAAATCTAAATATTGTATGTTATTTTACCCAATTGGTAACAATTAAGTTTGAGGGTTTCTTTAATTTAGTCCTTGAATATATAAAATGTTTTTTACCCAAATTCCTCGAATTAATATCTTATAAGAATACAATAGTAATAATAATTTATTCTCAATTACTTACAATTCTAACACATTTTTTATGTGTTTTATATACTGGCAAAATGACTCATAAATAAGAACATGTCATTAGGGGACCATAGCTTTTTTACTTTTGGTTTCATCTTTTTTTTTCTTTATGTTTCCTTGCATCCATCACTATAACAATTCAAAAATTCAGTTATGAAATTATTATTAATTTCTCATTATATAGTTGATAGTAAATATTTCTTATGATAATCCTTCATTATATATATATACACCATTTTTGTGACATCCAGCTTAAGAAAAATTAAAGTCTCACATCGATAATGTCACGACCCAAAACGAGTCATGAGTGGCACCCACACTTAACCTACTAGGTGGGCGAACCAATGAATCCAAACCCTAACATATATTACTTGTTAAACTTACGAAATACAAACCATAATGCGGAAGCTCAATCATATTAAGGTAAGAAACACAAATCCACTAAAGTCTACTCTATGTCATTCTCAAAAC